AGCTTCTGGGTCTGTAACCAAGTACTTACCAGACAAGGAGCCACCTCCGAGAGGGGAATAAGCAAGCAAGCCAACATTGCAGTTTTTTGGGTGGCATACTTCTACTAGATCAACTGTGATAAATAAACCAAGTACATTAGAATCAAGGACACGCTCATAAAGTCACTTAAAACGAAATGTCTTTCACTGCTTTCTATGTTTCTAGAGAGACTACCTTCAAAACGGATCCGAGCTAGCAAGCTGTAACCATTCTGGATGCTCACAATCTTTGGTAGTCCTTCGAGTTTTGCTGTGTGAACAAACTCCATCACTCCATATGAAGTTTCATTTGAGACACCGATGTAGCGAATCTGTTACAGAGTTTGACGGCTAAGAAAAATCAACTCAATATATCTGACGGCTAAGGATTAGCACACTACCTTTCCTTCGTTAATGAGATCCTGGAAGGCTCTTAGCTGCTCGACAAACGGCACACTAGTCCTCCATTTCGATGTATCATAGTAGTTATCACCAAAGAGTGGTACATACCGATCTGGCCTGGACTGAAAAAAACATCAGCATCATGAATTTGCCACACTCAATGACGAATAAAGAAATGGTTTGCATATGACAAATTAGCATAAGATACGTAGCATATGAGTTAGGCGTGAGGGGCAATGTAACAGCAGCTGTTACCAGTGTATTTGAAGCAAATCAATGTAGTCAGTGCCAAGGCGTTTGAGACTTTTCTCGACACTTTCTTTAATATTAGCTGCATCTACACGTGTAACCTCCGCATTCTCCCGCAGGTATGCTGATCTTTCTGAGTACCCACATAATTTAGTTGCCAAAACAAACTGTACACAGAAAAACATTAAGAAAAATATTATATTGCATTGACAAAGACAATGCAGGCTTGGAAGTTGGAACACGAAGGATAAAATCTGCTAAACAGCATAGAGCTGTTCCTCATCTACGCATATAATCCACAAACCGAAACAATTAGCCAACAACAAATGGACGATGGTGATACCTTGTCACGGCTCTGAGACTTCAACCAGCTACTGATATAAAGATCCGTTTTGCCTTGGGTCTCCTTCTTCATCGGGACAGGATACTGGGAAAAATAAATAAACTGGTAAATCACTCAATAATATAGATCAACCATGCGAGTAATCAGATCCGAGAACCAACACATATATCTGTTTCCAATGCCAAACAGTTGAAACAACACTGCTCAATCTCTCTTTTTTTTTTTTACCAAAATACTTAAGTTACTTCATCAAAAAACATTAATCAAGTTGCACTATTTCAAAAGCCAGAGCTCACTAGCCATAAATAAACGTCTTAGTGACCTTTCCACAACCCAAAAACTTCCCTATATCTCAATACATAAGTGATAAGCGAGAGAGCAGATCAGATATGTAAAGAAGAAAAAGATTCAAACAGTTTCTTTCATATTCCCTAAGCGTCAGAGAGAAGTATACACAAACAAACAAAGAAGATAAAAAAAACTCACAGCTTCAGCAGTGTCAATGCAGTTAATACCATGCTCAACTGCATAACTCAGCATCTCATGAGACTCTTTCTCAGTATTCTGCTCCCCAAATGTCATCTGAAACAAATTCACACGAACTAGAAAGCATTAAAAATCTAATCACACAAGTCAAAGACTAACACTCACAATAACAATTCTTCAGAAAGCAATAGCGAAGGAGATGAATATTATTCTTACAGTGCCCATAGTAATCTCGCTGATATTGAGCTCCGAATCCCCTAACTTCCTGTAATCCATAGCTTTCTTCGCCGTCTTCTCCGTCGACGCTTTCGCCAAACCCGAAATTCTGAATATTCTCCTCCCAGCATTCCGTGATGGAGTTACAAAGCGGCGCGTGAAGTTGGATTGAGAGAAGCCTCTAATGTTGTTGTTGCCGGTGATCGCCGGAGTAACCGTTGAGAAGGTGACGTGAGATGACGCCATGGCTGAGAATTGTCTTTGGACGTGGCTCTCTCACTCACTCTCTCTCGAGCCTTATCGCCATATCCACTGTTTATTCACGTTGTGAAAGTATGGGCCCGAATATATGGGCCTTATTAAGCCCACTTAAATTATATTATTATCCACGGAATTATCTATTTTCCTAATTTAAATCTTTAGAATATTTATTCCTTGGAGATAATGGCATGACACAGCCCTTCGATATCTCCAATAAATAGACCGTAGTGAGCTCCCAAAGGTTTTACACCCCTCTCCCAAATCTCACACACCGATCCCAAAGGTTAATCTACGATCTAGATCCGATGGCGAAGGAACCAGTTCGCGTTCTCGTTACCGGTGCTGCAGGTAACTTTATTCTTCTCAGATCTTTGATTTTTGACCTCTTTGTTTACTGTACTCAGATCTCTGTGTAGTTTTTTGTTATCCCGTACGAATGATTATAGATCGGTGAATCAGACGTTGGATCTAGCTTTGTTTGGTTGTAGAAATGAGATCTGATCGGATCCTCACTTTGCTAGGCTTGAAAGGATCCATGATTCTTATAGAATAACCAGTTAAAGCTGTAGAGGTTTGATCTAGAAACTGACGTGTTACCACAACGCTGAAGTCAACTTTATTTATTATTATTTTATTTAATTTTATAGTATATTCATGCTTTGTTCGTTGACAAAAATTGATATCTGATTATTTTATGGATTGAAAACGGTTTTGATAACTGACGTTGTAAGCTATATTTTATGATTTGATATTAGTTTATAGTTAGTGAATGAAAACGGTTGTGATTTGGCGCAGGACAAATTGGATACGCTCTTGTACCTATGATTGCGAGAGGTATCATGCTTGGTGCTGACCAGCCTGTGATCCTCCACATGTTGGATATTCCTCCAGCTGCTGAGGCACTTAACGGTGTCAAGATGGAGTTGATCGATGCTGCTTTCCCTCTTCTCAAAGGTAGTTTCATTGATGTGAATATTTGCAAGCTGTGCCATGTGTTGTTTTGTTCTATTGAGAGAGAATGATGAATATTTGATGTGTTTTGTGCAGGTGTTGTTGCTACAACTGATGCCGTTGAGGGATGTACTGGAGTCAACGTTGCTGTTATGGTTGGTGGCTTCCCAAGGAAAGAGGGTATGGAGAGGAAGGATGTGATGACCAAGAATGTCTCCATTTACAAGTCTCAGGCTACTGCCTTGGAGAAGCATGCCGCTCCAAACTGCAAGGTAAATAAGATTTATTTGCCTTTTAAATCAGTTTCTTTTTTAGCCACTTCATCTAGTTTTTGTTGTTAATTGAAGTGGAACAAATGCTTTATATTCTCAGTTGGGTTTGAGTTTGTGAGACTCTTTCTCAAAACATTTTCCTTCTTTTTTTTTCAGGTTCTTGTTGTTGCTAACCCTGCAAACACCAACGCATTGATCCTCAAGGAATTTGCACCATCCATCCCTGAAAAGAACATCACCTGTTTGACAAGGCTTGACCACAACAGGGCCTTGGGTCAGATCTCTGAGAGGTTGAGCGTTCCCGTCTCTGATGTTAAGAACGTTATCATCTGGGGAAACCACTCATCATCACAGTACCCTGATGTCAACCATGCTAAGGTGAAGACATCGGCTGGAGAAAAGCCAGTCCGTGAGCTCGTCAAGAACGATGAATATTTGAATGGAGAATTCATCAGCACCGTTCAACAACGTGGAGCTGCTATCATCAAGGCGAGGAAGTTGTCAAGTGCACTTTCTGCTGCTAGCTCTGCCTGTGACCACATCCGTGACTGGGTCCTAGGAACTCCAGAGGTTCGTAAATCACACTCTTCCCACTACTCGCAGTGCGGCTTTAGTAAACTGTTGGTTGGTTGGTTGTTGTTGTTCTAATATGAGGTCTTTCTCTGGTTGAATTGCTCAGGGTACATTTGTCTCAATGGGAGTATACTCCGATGGCTCTTACGACGTTCCAGCTGGACTTATCTACTCCTTCCCTGTCACTTGCCGTAATGGAGAATGGAGTATTGTCCAAGGTAAAGACAAGCTTTTACAACTCAAATACTTAATTCACCTTATTGTGTCGATACTAAATGGAATTTGGGTTATTAGGGCTTCCGATCGATGAGATGTCAAGGAAGAAGATGGATTTGACAGCAGAGGAGCTCAAGGAAGAGAAGGACTTGGCCTACTCATGCCTCTCTTAAACAACCGTTACTCTTCATTTTTCATCTTATCAGGTGTGAGATCATCATAGCTGTTAGGGCTGTGTCTGAATAAGATCTCCAAACACTGTTTTATAACTTCTTTGTGGGTTTGTCTTCTCATTGAGCATTGTCCTTGGTCTGTTTCTAAACCAGGATATCGTCTACTCTGTTTCATGTGTCTTGTATGGTTTTATCCATAATAAATTTAAAGAAAATTGAAAACTTCATGTGCTCGATTAGTTTGGGTTTTAGTCAGTAGCCTACCTAGTTTGTGTAGTTATGGCGAATGGCGTTGTGTTGCATGAAGGAACGTCTGGTTTTGCAGCAAAAAGTGTGCTTTTAGTTTGATCTGCCATAATTAAATCTATCCCAATTAGAAATATTGTGTTTGTAATCATTTTCATGAGCCCATGAACTCACTGTCCGAAATATAGGCCCATTAAAAGTCCTTCATGCTAAATTCGATTCCTTAATGATCCCAAGAAAATCTTAGTTGGGCAAATGAATACTGAGATTTAGGTTAAAAAAAGAACCAATAATCTTGGAATACCACTAGTTGTGGATAAAGTTGTCTACTACTTTTGTCTTGTGGATAGAGTTGTCCATAGTCCTTGCATGTGGCTAGTGTTACTCAGTACTCACCAAACATAATCCTCAAGGTAAGAGTTCCCATATTGTTCTTGATTAAATGATGTCAGCTTTTTATTAAGTTAAATCATTCTCAGTTATCTAGATAGAAGAACCTTATATCCCCTGTATGAGCTGTGGTCTTTTATCATGGCAGAATTTGGACAGAGAGTGGAGCTTTAGTTGATTTGGTCTCCATCTCTGATCACACCTATGACAACAAACAGAAAGACTATAGTTTGGTTCAGAAGAGATCTAAGGATCGAGGATAACCCTGCACTAGCAGCTGCAGCTCGGGAAGGATCAGTCTTTCCTGTTTTCATTTGGTGTCCTGAAGAAGAAGGTCAGTTTCATCCAGGAAGGGCTTCAAGATGGTGGATGAAACAATCTCTTGCTCACTTGAATCAGTCCTTGAAGGCTCTTGGTTCCCACCTCACATTTATCAAAACACATAACACTGTTTCCGCTCTCTTGGACTGTATCCGCGCCACTGGTGCCACTAAAGTCGTCTTTAATCACCTCTATGGTACTCTCTCATCTCCTGTGTACATCTGAGTTTTAACTTGCTTCTAGTGATTTTCTTAAAATCCGATTTATACGATTCAAATTGGTTTAAATCGATTTAAATTAGTCTAAATCTGTTAAATTGAGATTCAAATTGGTTTGAATCGATTTAAATTAGTCCAAATCTGTTAAGTTAAGAAAGTATATTAGTACAAATCTAACAAATCTATCTATTTTTTTCTTGTTTTTTATATCTAATTTGACAATTTATAAAAATAATTTTATAATTAAAACTCAAAAAAAAAAATATATTCCATTTCTTGACCATTTTTCTTTCTTTTTTTTTGTGTGTGTAAATGTTCTTGAACATTGTTTCCTTGGTTGTAGATCCTGTGTCACTAGTTAGGGACCATAACGTGAAGGAGAAACTTGTGGAACGTGGGATCTCTGTGCAAGGCTACAACGGAGATCTATTGTATGAGCCTTGGGAAATAAACTCCGAAAACGGCAAACCTTTCACGAGTTTTGCCCCATACTGGAAGAAATGCTTAGACATGTCAGTTGAATCCGTTATGCTTCCTCCTCCTTGGCGTTTGATGCCTCTATCCGCAGCTGAAGGCGTGTGGGCATGTTCAATAGAAGAGCTAGGGCTAGAGAACGAGGCAGAGAAACCAAGCAACGCGCTGTTAACTAGAGCTTGGTCACCAGGTTGGAGCAATGCTGATAAGATACTAAACGAGTTCATCGAGAAACAGTTGATAGATTACGCAAAGAACAGCAAGAAAGTAGTTGGGAAGTCGACCTCAATGCTCTCTCCCTATCTCCACTTCGGGGAAGTAAGTGTGAGACGTGTTTTTCAGTGTGTCCGTATGAAAAAAATCATATGGGCGAGAGATGAGAACAGTGAAGGTGAAGAGAGTGCAGATCTTTTCCTTAGAGGGATCGGTCAGAGAGAGTATTCTCGTTATATATGTTTCAACTTCCCTTTTACTCACGAGCAGTCTTTGTTGAGTCATCTTCGTTTCTTCCCTTGGGATGCTGATGTTGACAAGTTCAAGGCGTGGAGTCAAGGGAGGACTGGCTATCCGTTGGTGGATGCCGGGATGAGGGAGCTTTGGGCTACTGGATGGATGCATAATAGGATAAGAGTCATTGTTTCGAGCTTTGCTGTGAAGTTTCTTCTACTTCCATGGAAATGGGGGATGAAATATTTTTGGGATACTCTTTTGGATGCTGATTTGGAGTGTGACATCATTGGGTGGCAGTATATCTCTGGGAGCTTACCTGATGGCCACGAGCTTGATCGCTTAGACAATCCCGCGGTAAACTTACAGAACTTATCTTTAGGTTTGGTTTTTTATTCAATTTCAATTTGGTTTTTCAATTTTAGAGATATAAGAACCATGTATTATTTATGGATTTCAGTTCGGTTTAGGTTTGGTGGATAATAATGTTAGGAACCAATTTATGTCTAGTAAAATTTTGGTTTTAGTTCGATTCAGGTTTTTTTTATCAATTTTGGATAAAAATCAAGATTTTCAATTTTTAGATTAATTATTAAGTAATTTGAATAAAAGAATATTCTGATATTCCAGAGTTTTTGGGTATTTTGCATTCGATTAACGATTCCAGTTTGGTTTTAGTTTTTCGGTTTGAAAAATATAGGAACCATTCGGTTATTTGTGAACTTCAGTTCCATCTTGGATTTGGATTTTGGATTTTGGTTCAGTTTTAGTTTTCCGGTTTCAAAAATATAAGAACTATTCAGTTATTTGTGAACTTTAGCTCGGTGTTCAGTTATTTTTTTGTTCCTTCTGGTTCGGTTTAGGTTCTCGGTTTTTATGCTCTTAGTTAAGAGTATGTTTTCTCATTTACAAGTCTGAGATAATGTATGTTTTGGTTTAAGATACAAGGCGCAAAATATGATCCAGAAGGCGAGTACATAAGGCAATGGCTTCCCGAGCTGGCGAGAATGCCAACGGAATGGATCCATCATCCATGGGACGCTCCTTCAACTGTACTCAAAGCTTCTGGAGTGGAGCTCGGAGCAAACTACGCGAAACCCATTGTAGACATCGACACAGCTCGTGAACTACTTACCAAAGCCATATCAAGAACTCGTGATGCACAGATCATGATTGGAGCAGCGCCTGATGAGATTGTAGCTGATAGCTTCGAGGCCTTAGAAGGTAATAATACGGTCAAAGTACCCGGTCTTTGCCCGTCTATGTCTTCTAATGACCAGAGAGTACCTTCGGCTGTTCGTTACAATGGGAAGAGAGTGAAACATGTGGAAGAAGAAGAAGAGAGAGAGATGAAGAGATGTAGAGAAGAAAGGGACTTGTTTTCCACTGCTGAGTCTTCTTCTTCTTCTTCGATGGTTAGAAGTGTGTTCTTGGATTCGCATTCTTGCTCGTTGGTATCAGAAGGGAAGAACTTGGAAGATTCTTCTGATCAAATTACTTAAGCTTGAAAAAAAAAGATTAAAAGCTGTTATTATAAAACTTAACACGTTTTAGAAGTATGTATGTGTCTCTTGACTCTTTGTCACTTGTGCTGATGCATACGGTTACTGGTGTCAACGGAGATGTATGGGTGAAAATATAAGCTGTTTTGTGTGTGTTCAAAGGCTCAATAAAGCAATTTAAATATATTTTTTCGGCCCAATAATCGTACTGACTTAAAGCCTTATTTATAGGCCCAATAAGAAAACTGAATTAAAGCCCATTAACAAAATCCAACGACGGTCTTATTGATCCATAAGTAAACACTCGATTTCCCTCCACCGTTCCGTCGGTGAATTGCAATCGAACGGGAAGCGAAGAAGCAAACTCCGGCGACTCGTATGGCGTCGTCGAAGGGAGGAAACACAACCGCGCATATGAATACTCTCCACCAGCGTCTTTATCACGCTCTCAATCTCGGCTTCAGGTCCTCTCTTCCCCCTCTGTTTATCCCTTTTTAAACTTGTTTCCTGAGAATCTTTAGGGTTTATTGATTTGATAGGAGAGTAAGTGATGATAAGGAGAAGAAATGGGAGTGTACTGATATCGAGATACAGAGACACGTCGTTAAATCGATTTCAGCTTTTCTTGATTGTTTCTCTCGTGCAACAGCTAATCATCGTCTCATCAAGGTTGTTTACAAGACTTTTGATGTTAATTTCGTTAACTTTTATCTGCTTGATTCGAACTTATTTTTTTGTCATTTTGGTGGTTAGGATTCAGTTTCTGATATAGCAAGGGCATTGGTGTTTATTCTAGGGTTTAGAAACAGAGCTGTGGTGGGTTTAGCAGCTAATGTGCTCATTAAGTTGCTACGTGTTGTTCATCCTTCTTTCTTGCAAACGTATTCGTTGGATCTTGTGGAGTCTTTGGTACCTTTGTTGAGTGTTCGGCAAGTGGAAGTTTCTCTTCCTTGTGCTGTTGCTTTGAATGTGATTCTTGTAAACGTTAGAGAAAGTAAGGAGAAAGAAGTGTGGAGGGTATTAGAAGAGGGGAAGACTGTTGTTTTGGTGGTTGGTAATCTGCAGAAGTTTTATGAAGGGAATGTGTCAGTGGAATGGTTTCAGGAGATGGCTTCGCTTTTGAGTACTGTAATGTTGAAATGGCCTCAGTCTAGGTATTCTGTTTGGAGCAATCCTGACTTGATGGGTTTATTGGAGAGTCTTAGTCAAAAGCCTGATATGGATGTGAAGTTGGCAGCTTTGAAGCTGTATTCTTCTGTAGGTATATATATGGTTATGGAACTAATCATTGCTATGCTTCACATTTTTAAGTAAATTCGCCTTACCTCGTCCCTTGGCATTTTCTATGTTTCAGCGCTTTGTGGCCATGGTGCCAGTGAGCTTCTAAATAATGGGAAGCCTATGTTGGATTTGATGATTAGCTGCATGGACGAATCAAGCTCCCCAAATGCTCGAGTTGAAGGGTTTAAGCTAGCACAAAGGCTTGCGGTAATAATTACTCGCCATTTTGACATTCTCAATTATCTTCGTAGATTTCTAATCCATGGCTATTGATCAGACAGGTAACAGAGAATGCTTGAAGATGATCAACATGTGTTCTGAGCCTCTAGTAAAGACTACAATTTTGACCATAAGGTCGGGAAAGCTTGAAAATGATCGGATGGCATTGCTTGTTGAGGCTTGTAAACTGGCTTTAATCACTCGTTGGGAAGGAAAACATCATATTTATTTCTGGAAGTATCGGATCTCACAGGCGCTTCTTAGTCTTGTGGTAGAGAATTTTTGTAGTGAATCCTTGGATGGTTATTCTTCGCTGGAAGAAGAAATTTCTGTTGCTGAGAAGATACTCAATGCGAATTTTCTACCTAGTCTGAGGTCATATGTTTGGGATATAATTGGATTCTTGGCAGCTCACTGTGAGGAAGATTTCGATTCCATTTCGCGTGGAGATGAACTCCACCTCAACTTTCTTGTCACATGTGCATGGTAAGATACTGGATGTTTGTTATCCCTCCATCGCTTCTTTTTGGATATATTCTTATCTATTCTTATTTTGTTCTTTTGTTTTTTTAAAAGCTTGACCTTTTCAAGGTCAGTTCAGAAAGGCTATCAGATATGTCAAAAGGATAGCATCAGCGCCTCTCAAAGTGAGTCAGCCTCAAGAGCAGTTCTAATGATGATATATTCTCCCTCCAAATACATATCATCAAGGGCCAGAGTTACCCTCTCGTTCATCATAGGAGAAGATGGTGAGCAGAATTTGTATTCTCTTGTAAATTTCCTAAGTTATATTCCATCTTCTGGAGGTTATGTACTCCCAAATATACTGCAAACTACCGTCTGTTTGGTGGGCTTGGCATGCTATTCCTCGATCCCTCAGTATGCGAATTTCATTTTAAGAAACCAGGGTTTGGAGATACTATTGTCTTTCTGTAGCTGGTATCAAAGGAATCGTGAGAATGTTGGAGCATCGAGTTTTGTTCCTTATCCCCAGAGCAGTGCTGAGAAGAGGATATGTTGCTGGGAATGTACGGAAGACTGGGACAACAAAGATGCTATTCTTCTTTATGCTCTCTTGGCTCTGACCGAGTTGGTAAATCATTCTTTCTCTGAACAGATGCACGCCGAAGAATTTTCAACCAAGAGAGAAAGTGTGAAAGATCGGTTATGCACCACACTTCAGGAGATCCGAGATGGAAGTTACGGCTCCGGTCCAAGGTGGTATGCTGCATACATCCTAAGCTATTTTGGATACTATGGCTTCCAAGATAAGTTGGGAAAAAGACTAATGGGAGCTTACAAAGATGAGGAATGTAGTGATATGCGACTCATGTTTGCTAATGGGAATAATGCGAGTGTAAACAAAGTTATTCTCGCTGTCAGGTGTCCAACGCTACTGCCTCCCAAGGAGGGAGCTCACAGTGGCTCGATACCAACTGAGAAATCAGGGAGAACGGTTCAAGAAATTCGCATGTCTGCCAATGTGGATACTTTGGCGCTTGTTAAGTTATTGGAATTTGCTTACTCTGGGTATGTGCAAGTAGATAGTACGACGCTGAAAAAGCTGAAAACCTTGGCTAGACATTGTAAGTCAAAGGTTTTGCTGCAGATGCTCTGCAGAGGAAGACCCAAGTGGGGGTCTTCAATTCCTAAAATTGATCTACCCCTTGCCCTCACTCCTAAGCTCATCCATTTCTCGTAAGTTTTATCATTCTCATCGTTCTTTTTGAAGCTAACAATCAAGATAGATCACAGTTTTCTTGTAATTTCAGGGATGTTATATTAGTACCTAAAGAAACAAACATGGCTGGCTTCAACTGCCGTTTGTGTTCCTCAACATCTCCTCACGCCCACTCTCACCGGGTTATACTATCGTCAGGCTGTGAATACCTACGTGCCTTGTTCCGGTCTGGAATGCAGGAGAGGTATGTAACAGTTACTCTTAGTTCAGACATTTAGTGTTTATTGAGGAATAGAAGACTCAAAATCTAATAATTGGATCTTTATATTATGCAGCCATTTGGATAAGCTTAACGTCCCTGTGAGCTGGCTGGGTTTAACTAAGCTTGTAAATTGGTTCTACTCTGATGAATTACCAAAACCTCCATCGGGTTGCAAATGGAACAACATGGACACCGATGCAAAACTACAGGAGCTTCAAGCTTACGTGGAGATATACTCTCTTACCGAATGGTGGATAATGGAAGATCTCCAAAACGACTGTGCTAAAGTGATTCTCACTTGCTTGGAATCCGCTAGAGAGTTATCGATCAAAACAATCGAATTAGCTGCAACTTTCTCGATGTGGAAACTGGTGGAAGCAGCTGCTGAGCATGCAGCTCCTATTTACCATCAGCTTCGTGACTCAGGTGAGCTCGATGAGCTAGATGACGAGCTGGTTAACTTGATCCGAACCGCTGCCGTTCAGTTTTCTCAACAGGGTGGTTGAGTAACAGAAGCAAAAACTAAAAAGGGCTTTGATCGTTTGAGACTTAGAAGGAAGTGTCCTCTCATGACATCGACCAAGTATATAGGATCCGAGATGGTTCTGTTAGCCATTTATACCAATCCTTTTTGAAGATCATTCATGGTTTTCGATAGGGAGCATATGTTGTGTGATTTTTATGTCTATTCGGTAGAAGATAAAAATACAGTTTTGTGAGCTAAACAGAGGTTATGTACAAAGTAAAATTCTGTATACTATATGAACATTTTTGAAGAATTCGCAGATGGCAACATGTGACTATTCTTAAAACATATATATATATTACTGGTTAAATTAATTTCTTGATAATTAATCGTGAGAGCCACTTATTCCCAAACACTAATATATTACCATCCATTTTACTTTTAAAATTTAGAAAAAACAAGTTCTGAAATTACTTGGAAACACAAAGTTTGAAAGAAAGAAAATGGTGAAAGTCTTAGAGGAAGCACTTAGCATGGGGAAGATGCTCTTTTACTATGTCATCTCTATCCTCTTTGACATTATGAGCTTCTTCACTGATGCTTACGATCTCTTCTGGTTCTCTTTGATCTCGAAGCTCTTTGGTCGACGTTTCTATTTCTCCCGCCAGTTTTTAATTCCCACTATTAGATTAGAACTAATCTCGTCCTCGGATAAAAATGAAAAATATAATAATATAGTTGATAGCATTTTCTATTGCTTCAGCAAAGTTACGGTGCAAATTAAAATATTTTGTAAATGGTGTGTTTATATTACGTATGGGTTATGGAATTGTTTGGTGGGTTTAATCTTACGATTAGATGTTTGTGTTATTGTTGTATGTATGCTTGCGTATAAATAAGAGTTTTTATTCTATTTTTGTGAGGCTTGCGGGGAAGCTTGCCTGCTTCTTCGGTTGTTGCCGCCTAATTAGTAAGACCTGCTTCTGTTGATCTTTTTATATGCAAGTAAAAACATGATGTCCCTTTGTTTTGAACGAAACTGAACTCGACGGTTTATTACGTAAAATCAGGTGAAAGGCGAAACTGAACTTGCGCTGAGAGAGGCAACCACATCCTGTCGAAGAATGAAGATGAAGCGAGTCAACTCGAGGTCGGGGAATCTGGACCTCCATGGAATTGTTTCAGATATCTTAGCTTGTTGTATTGATTTTGAGTTTGTAAGCTTTGTGTGGATCCCTCGTGAGAGGAACACCATGGCAGATTTGGTTGCAAAAGATGCATTGATGACATCAGGACAGCAGTTAGTTGTTGGTGCTCTTAATGCCCTCAACTAACTTTTCTAATCAATATTACTAGGTGATTTTCCCGTGCTCCTGCACGGGTATGAATATTCATAAAAATAAAATTTTATAAGAATTGATTGATATTAACTTTTATTTTTGAATCAATTTATATGTATAATTTATATTAATAAATATTATATTATTCTAATTATACGTATGACTTTGGATATGTTATTGTCGATTTAATTATTTTTTGGATCAATAGTCGGTTTGGTTATTAATTTGATATATTGGATAATATCTATTTTTCGAGTTCAGCTATAATGTTTTTTTTTCTTCTAAATATAAGAAAATTTTGTTTAATTTTCTTATTTTCATTTCGGTTAGTTATTGTCTTAGATATGTAAATATATTCTTAGATATGTAAATAGACTATGGTTTAATTATGTATAACTTAATATATATTGTGCTTAAAATGAAATATATAATAAGCTAAAGTGTTTGATTCAAAATTACATAAATGAATATAATAATAATATTTTGAAGTCTCAGCATATATATAAATTCTACAAAAGAATTAAATTGTAATTGGTTAATATTTTCTTTTTTATTTTTAATATGTTTTGAATCAACCTCTAATTTATATGTATAAAATTAAATATATTATTATTATAATAAATTATATTTTCTTATTTTATTTGGATGTTTAATTTTGGATATAAATTAGATTAGTCGAGTCATTCATTCTATGAGTATATTGAGTTATATATATTTTTAAATTAAAATTGACGTATAATTACATTTTATTTTAGTTAAGTCAAATCAAATTAGTTTTATGTATCGCTTAAATATACATGTATTTCATAATATTTCTTTACTCTTTATTTCAGTTAAGTCAAATCAAATTAGTTTTATTTATCGCTTAAATATACATGTATTTTCATAATATTTATCAAATTATATGTCAATTTCTAAAAAATATTAGAAAATAAAGTGTAACTGAGAAATTTTTGGATGTTCATGAACATATATATTTTTATTATTTTGAAATATATTCTATGTTAATTAAAATATATATTAATGGGGTTATTACTATTTTGTTAACTTTTCTTTTTAATAAAGTCATACTATGTGTATATTAATGGGGGTATTACTATTTTGTGAACTTTCCTTTTTTAATAAAGTCATATTATATACATATAATTTCGTTTTTAAATTTGTTTTAAAATTTTAGAAATATTTCCTTTTTTATTATATATTTTATTTGGAAAAAGATTAAAAAAACTAAATAAAAAAAATTAATAATAATCTTAAAATCTAACAATTCATTAAGAGTATCTATGTAATCAACCATGACGAGAGTTAACGTGAACGCGACACGTAAGAAACTGACTTCTCAAATAATATTATAGAGATTGTGTTTCAAAAGGTGAAACAGACATTTTGAGCTTCACGAAATAGTCTCCATGTGTCGCCCACACACCCAAAAGACCAAACTTATTCAAAGATTAATTGGTAGTTTTTAATTAATATAATAATATATTGAATTAGAAGAAAATCTGAGATTTTATATTTTCTTCTTACTGTATACCATACATTTATTTTACAAAAGAATTATCATAAAAAGATATTATTATTCTTTCATCAATTAGATTATTAATCCAAGCTTTCCATTTCTCATCTCTTATGCATTTTAAACTTTGTTTTTGTAAGTTTACATTATGCAATTTTATGCTTAATTATCTATATAGAACTCTTTTGCTTACACTATTTATATATTGCATTATTAATATTTAATTTTTAAATAGTTAAGGTTGTCTTATTGTTACTAATCCAATTTAATAAATTTAATATGTAATTTGATATGCTTTATAATGAGAAACTCTCTAATTTTATGCTTTTTAAAAAAAAAGAAAAACTCTCTAACTTAACATAAAATCTAACATAAGATTTTAAATTAAATAACAATTATTGATAAGAGATTTAATGGGTATCTAGTTAATGGTGATGCTCTAAGTCTTGTCTTAAATATTCTGCCACGTTTCTCATAATCTGCTTCTCCACGTTTCTCTTCATTGCTCCATCTCCTTCTTCTGATTCTTACTGTATCTACTACATTACATAAGCAAGCCTTTGTGAAAATCTTGGAATAAATTAAGTTAAAACAAATACAAAAATGGTGGCCAAAAACTCAATCGAAGTTGAGTGCAAGTCCCTAGATGAAACGAAAGCTGAAGTTGATGGCCTCGTTGAACCGCAAATCACTGAGTTTACTTCAATCTTTGGCCTTCCTCCAGTGGCGTCAGATGAAAAGAAACCTAACGTCTCAGCCTCAGAGTTAGCAGTCCCTATCATCGACTTTGCAATGTCACGTGAAGGCATTGTGGAGAAGATCAAAGAAGCTGCTGAGAAGTGGGGAATTTTCCAAGTGATCAACCATGGTGTTCCTTTAACCGTTCTTGAAGAGATCAAAGATGGAGTTGTTAGGTTTCATGAGGAAGATCCCGAGGTTAAGAAAACTTACTTCTCACGTAACTTCGCCAAGACATTTATCTACCACAATAACTTCGAACTCTATAGTTCATCTGCTGGTAATTGGAGAGACAGCTTCGGTTGTTACATGGCTCCTAACCTTCCAAACCCTGAGGAGATCCCAGTGGCTTGCAGGTAATTTTCATTTTACTTTAAAAAATATTACCTAGGCAAAGCCAAGTAAAACATTAGCTTATAACCCTCAATTTTCTGAAGAAAGTGACATAAACATTTTTATAGATCCCAAATTTGTAAAAAAAAAAAAGAAAACTGAATCTTTTAAAAAATTGGCTAGAGACTCCAAAATCTCCATGTTGGTATTAATCTTAAGGCAATTTTATCAAATAGACATTTTAAGTTTTTATCACAAAAAAAATTTCAAAAACTAAAATGACCAAAATAATATTTTTATTTTAAAATTTTTAAGTTTTTTAATTTTTTAAAATTTGAAATCCTAATCTCAAAACTTCACTCCTCAATTCTAAACAAAAAAAGGGTCTAGAATTAGTTAACCCAAAATGTATAAGCGTATATTTATTTATTTTTAATAAATTATTTAAGTCTATATTTATGACGAAAACTTTTTTTTTAGGTTTATCCTATTGAATTTCTATTATTGATCTTAATACATTGTAACATTGATTTTTACATCATTAGCTCAGAGACGCTATGATTGGATACTCGAAGCATGTGATGAGCTTAGGTGGTTTGATTTTTGAACTTCTCTCGGAAGCTCTTGGTTTTAAGCTCAGAGAAACTTAAGAGCTTAGATTGCATGAAGGGTTTGCTTATGCTGTGTCATTATTACCCTCCATGTCCACAACCTGACCTAACTTTGGGAATAAGTAAGCATTCAGACAACACCTTTATCACCATGCTCCTTCAGGACCAAATCGGTGGTCTTCAAGTCCTTCATCAAGATTGTTGGGTTGATGTCTCGCCTATCCCAGGAGCTCTTGTCATCAACATCGGTGACTTCCTTCAGGTTATAACATAGAAAAACAAACGTTTTAATGAGAGATGCATTGGATGAATGAGTTTCTAACTTTAATGTTTGTGTAGTTGATGACGAATGATAAGTTCAAAAGTGTGGAGCATAGGGTGCTTGCAAACAAAGCTGGACCGAGGATCTCAGTCGCGTGCTTTTTCAGCTCGAGTGTGACTCCGAATTCAACAGTTTACGGACCAATCAAAGAGCTTCTGTCTGAAGAAAACCCTCCAAAATACAGAGAGTTCACTGTACCTGAGTACTCAAATGGATACATTGAGAAAGGTCTTGATGGAACATCGAATTTATTGAATTACCAGATATGAAAAAAAAAACACTTTAAAAATAAAGAGTAGAGTGTTTTGTTTGATGTAAAATTTTATCAGAGAACTTGAGTAATTATCAGTCGCTTGCAACTGTTGTGTTGGTCTTTAATCAAAAAGTGTTTCTATGCTCTGTTTTGTCCTATAATCAGCTTATACAAACTGTTATAACTGTATTAAAGAACAAATAGGTTGATTTAGTCTAATAGTCTCTCTCTATTTCTTATTTCCGTAAAGCTCTAACCTTGTTCTCACCGACAAGACCATCAATCTTCCGACATGTCTGGTCTCTGGGATGTTTTTGTATGTTCACACCATTTCGACATGCAGAGTAGGGCTAATTTGATGATTTCAGAACTTCGAGGAATGTTATAGAAGACGAGATTCAGGATATCAATTTGAAGTGGTTGGTAAGATGAGAGAAACGCCGGCGAAGTGGTTCAACGATACGACATAACGGCGGCGGGAAAAAAGGAATGTTTGGTGAATTAAATAATCAGGTTTGAGTTTTGACTGACGGCTCGTCAGTCACCAACCACTCCAGAAGCAACAATAGATTGGTGGAGACAAAATAGTTTCTTTGTTGCTACTTATAAGTCGAGCCCACATCTATTTTTTAATCAAAAAACTTCTATAAATTAATAATGTTGGAACTAAACCAAATATTTTTTTATTAATTTAGAGAGATATTAATTTATTGATATGCTAATCAAACCAAAATCTCAATTTAGGACTATAAAATTATATTATTTTATAGAAATATTTAATGTATATTAAGTTATCGAATATTAATTTATAGAATTTTTACTATATATAGCGAATTAATACAAAGTTTACACATGTTATTAAATATTGTCTTAAATTAAAATTTATTACCTACGTTTGGTACGACAGCAGTTGAAATTATTAATTAATTCAATTAAATAAGGTTGACTCAACCTTTGATAATTAAAAAGATAAATTATTTTCCAAATTTTAGGGTTCTTTCAACCTTTGATTTACATTTCCTGAAATCTATACTTTTCGTTTATAGGGCTTAACTTACCAACCTTGGGGGAACCTTCCATGGCTGACAAAAAAACTTTGGTTTAAAGACTTTAAGTTTGTTCATATATATGTTTAAAACCGTATAACATATACAAATTAAATTATCCAAATCCACCAAACCAAGTGATTATTAGTTTAAATTCTAAGCTCAGTTAGATGAATCACATGAAGTTACAATTTGATTTATATTCAAAAAAAAAAAAGAAGAAGTTACAATTAGATTAACACAATATATAGCTTGCACACAATACAAATCATAAAATGATGTTTCATATAATTAATCATTACATTCAAATAGTGACATTACATTCTACAAAACTAATTACAGAAGGATACAGCCGCTTAAATTTTAAAATTCTAGAAATTAAAATGATCGACTCGCTTAAAGAATCTTATTCGTTACAGAAATCGATTGACATTACAGTTTATTTGCTAATGATACTTTTTTGATAATACAGCTTCTTATGATTTGGATTGATTGTTTTTGTTGTAAATGGGAATGTCTGTCACGTACCTTTCAGTATATAACGATTGCATTCCCCTTTTATTGTCTCTTACTCTTACCCATGTTAACATTATTATTCTTGTTGTAGTTCTCTCCATATTCAAGAAGTTCCTCCAAAACACTATCGTCCAAGTACTCAAACTCAAAAACTTGCCTCGAAGAGGACGAGTTTGCTGTAGTGGCTGCGGAGTTTGAGGAAGATCCGCTTCCCATGTTGTACTCATGAGGAAAGTTGAGAATTGCGGATTTGCCTCTCATTGAATAGGCGGCTCGGTCATAAGCTCGAGCTGCGTCTTCAGCGGTGTCAAACGTCCCTAGCCACACACGCTCACCGTGGTTTCTCGAATCTCTTATTTCCGCTGCATATTTTCCCCAAGGCCGTCTCCTTACTCCCCGGAACTTCCCTTGCTCGGCTCCTCCTCCTCCACCACCACCGCTCCTACCTCCTTGATCCATTTATAAATATGTGTGTGTGTGTGTGTGTGTGTTTATTTAACTTTGTGCGTGAGAAGAGAAATAAAGGCAAAGTGAGTAAGAAGAAGAAATGGTGTTGTGGGACGGACGTCACAAGTTTGAGCGTATGTTTTTCTTTTTTTGTCTTGGTGTGTGTTTTATTTCAATATCTGCATGAGTTAAATGAGATTTCAGTTGGGGAATTTATAGGCATGGAAACAAAGTGGGTCCATTAACCTAATATTCGAATTTCAAAGCCTCTCCACTTATCAAATCTTACATTTATTCTTATTCCATTTTGTTTCAAAATCTATGTTCCTTATATAATAAAAGTTCTTTAGAGCTATTGATTTTATATGAATTCGGTATATTTGGCATCTGCTAGCATCTTGTTATATTTATTTGGAAATATGTATGGTGAATTTTGTTAGATATTGGTTTTATATTTTTCTATAGTACAGTAGAAGAGTCAAAGAGATAATTCACTCTTTGTGATTAAGTGTGATGATTCATACCTAATAGAGAAACAAATCTCTAAAATACATATCCGAGAAATTCATGTATTTTTTTCTAGAAAATTATTTATTGATGTTTTTGGAATATTAACATTTTAATTAAACATTAGCATTTTCTAATAATCCGCATGAAGTTAAACGAGGCATTGAAGTTTAGACTCAAGTTTTATTCTACTAGAGATAACAGTGTAGATCGTTTAACTCAAACTAAAAGTTAGAGAAACTCTTTATTAATTTGAAAGTCCCTCAGTGTTATATATTAAACAATGTGATATGGTATTTTTGGCAACAGTAATGGAATTTTTATTACAAAAGTATGGTGTGCAACTGATAAAGAGAGTCATAGTTGATGTGTGGGTCTACTTCGAATATGTCTGACTTCTGTAGTGCCCACGTGGGTTGACTCTTAAAACTGACTCAAAAGTTTCCCTTGGATCATAGCTTATACTCTTTTAACACTAAATACGCCTAGAGGTGACTAGCTGCTCTAAGTTCTTTGACATGACTACATTTCAGAGAGTTTTCACATCAATTTCTCTTCTTTCTCTAATATTAAAAAGTTTACGAACATGCATTAGCCAACCAATAAAAATTTTACGAATATATTGGATTATACGTTTTTTTAATTAATCCGAATGTATCATGAACTGATTAATCTCCCAAAGTGAATTGTACTGATTAATCTCCCAAAGTGAAGTGTACATGGTCACATATCGCTGTAGCCACAGGAGTTTAATATCGTGGATCGTTACGAATCCGGAAAATTTAGCTTACAAAGTTTGAATACCATTTCCCCGCCCATGTGTGGTTGAAACTTATATCTTTGTCATCAATCAAATTAAATGTTCCAAATTAATTTCAAGCAACATTCTACATAAAAAAAAAACAATTTTGCCATGTTATCACACACACATACAAGAACGTTCATAAGAGCATCAACAACGCGGAAATCTTTCTGTCTATTTTTTTTTGTTTTATCTGTTTTAAAAAAATAAAAATAAAATAAAATAAAAAAATTAATCGTGAGTTGCTGCATATCGTGGAACCCGCAAAATAGTGTTCAAAATCCACAACAAACGTTTTGCTAGATCGTGTACCCTTCCCTATTAAGAGACACTGAAAATACAGCGTTGTTGATGATCTAAGCCCTGAGTCGGCAATGAACCCAAACGGGTGAAACTTGAACTTACATTCTTATCATTCTTTATAAATTTAGACACACCAATGAATTGGTCGTATTTTTCTTTCGACTTGTGGCTTGTACTTTTTTCTCGTGGTTTTTTACAGTTTCATGACCGTCTTCGTATTAACAACTCGATCTATATAACCTTTCTATTTTGTTACCAAACTTACATAACCTCTACAAACATAAATCCGCAACCTAGAATATCTTACATACTCTAGAATCTGAATTTTATAACTACATACAGACATCTTTGAGCCAACAAATATTAGCTTCCATAGTTAGCCAGGTCCACAAAAACTCTAAAGTTCCATCAAATGAATAATATGTGTCACTATCAATAAGAAACTTCTATGAGAGAATTCGTATAAATGAACCTTCCATGTATAGTATCTTTCATCCGTAAATCAACTCAATTATTTTACTGACACTATATTATCCAAACAGAATTTTATAAACCTATTAACCTATTTGTCACGTGTGGTTTTCTACTGATTCATGCATCCTTATGATTTAATTAGGATATAAAATATCTGTAATAACGATAAGTCAGTTGAAAAAAAAAAACGATATATGTCCAATGTATCTAGATGATGGTTAATTCATAAGCATCGTCATAAAGTAGATGTAATACTTCTTCTAGCTTTCTTTTTGCTTCTTTAGAAAAATATATTAAACCTATTAGTTAGCCCTTTTTGGCTGCTAGTCATGGATTCGATTTTTTATGTGTCCGTACATAGGTTCATTTCCCTTTCATCACATTATAGAATATTGTTTACGAGTCTATGTTTATGTTGTTTAAATCTGACTTGTCTCTGACTTTGAATCCGTATAAATACTGCATATATATGTCAATAATTGTTTACAAAATAAACAAATTCATACAATTTATTACATGTGCTGTAAATAAAGATTTTGTGGGTGTTTCAATCACATTGTTTTTTTAGAACAGTGTTTCGATCATACTGTTTTTGTTTTGACAAAGTGTTTCAATCATACTGTTTTTTTTATAATTAGCCCAAGTGAATAATTTGAAAAATTTAAAACTGAAGTTCATTCTTTTTGATGATTAGTAGTCCTGATAAAAAAAAAATTGGTGGTTACGATTGAAGCAGAATCAGAATCTCTTTTATTGTCGCCATTACGACTAGTGTAAAGGATCTCAAGGTTGGGGACAACATATAGCTAGTCTTTACGTCTTCGTGCATGAACCAACTAATTGAATAACATATATTATAATTTATTATTAGGGGAATCGATTATCATATAATCGGCAACGTACGTCCATCACGAACCAATGCACCTAAGCAAAAGGTAAATTAAGTAACCAATGAACATATACCCTAACAGATAGAAGAAGCTTCTCAAGTTCAAAGTACAATTGCAAAGTATATGAATTTGTGATTTTTATGAAATAGTTAACTAACGAACAGCCTTCGAATTTTCTTTGGAGAAGCAAAGTTAAATTATTAAAATTTCATCATATATAACTATAGCCTGATAACAAACAAATCAGAGCTAACAATTGAATTGTATCTAGGCATCATTCATAGAATTAGAATAACAGACTTTAATGTTATCTGTCAAAATATAAAAATAAAAGAGAAACAATTGTATGTCACTAGTAAACCTTTAAAAACCGGTATGATTAACATTAGGGCTGGGCATTTTATCCGTTATATTTGATTCGATCCGTTATTCGTTTCGATTCGATCCGAAAATTCCGGATATCCGTAAACTTTCGAATCAAAGCAAATACTAAAATTCAATATCCGTTAAAATCGAAGCAAATCACAAATATTAAAATTTTGGAAAGCGGATATCCGATCCGATCCGTAAATATATAAATAT